AATAACTTATCTTTAAACTCATTTTAGGTCACACTGTGTTCTTGAATCTGTTTTTGTGATTTCTGTTTTTCATGAAATCTGTTCATCTGGGTTCTAAAATTAGTATAAATGTTTCATAACATATTACCTTTTAAAAAGATCTGCTATACTGTAATTATGTCTCTTTTATGTCTAATATTGTCTATTTGGGCTTTTTCTAGATCAGTCTTGTCAATTTTTATGTCTTTTCAAGGAATCAACTTTTTCTATGTTTATTTTTTCCTATTTTTTGTATTTTTATATTTACTATTCTTATTTTTATTATTTATTCTTCCATTTTACTTATGTTTATTATAATAATATTTTTTTGACTCCAGAAGTTGGATGCTTAACTAAGTTTTAACTTTCTTCTTTTCTACTATAAACATATGTCTTTCTACTTTTTTTAAACTACTGCTTTACTTACATCCTACACATTTTGAAAGTAATATCTTCACAGTCATTGTTCCAAGTACTGATTTCCACTAAGTATTGTATGTTTTTAAATATCATTTTTACCTTATTTATAAATTTGTGAACTTTTAAAACCATACTTTTTGATTTTGGAATAGTTTTAGAGTTACAGAAAAGTTAGAAGGATAGTATGGAGGATATAGAGAGTAAAAGTCCCCACAGTCAGTTTTCTGGTTATCAACACCTTACATTACTATGGTACATTTGTCAAAACTTGTTGGGAGCCAGCCTTGGAGGCCCACCTGATTGACAGGGTCCTGGTGGGCCGAAGACCTGGGCCGCAGGGTGAGCCCGGAAAGCTGAGGCCCTTCTGTCTTCCACCTTTGTTGTTTGGTACCACTGAAGAATTCTGTGCAGTCATGGAAGAATAAAATGGCATGCTTATGCGAAGTACTCACAGCTAACCTGAGAATGTCATGGTTTATTTTTCCATTTCTCACTATGCTGTTTGGCCTTTTCTAACATATGCAAGGGTTAAACTCTGAAGCACATCAAGAATGCTTTCTTTCACTTGGTTATAAGTTACTAGATATTGCTTAAGTAATAAATGATATAAGTATATTCACTCCTTAGTTGATTTAGAATTATGAGTTTAGCATTTAGACATAAGGTTTTTTAGAAGCACAAGTTTATAGTAAGTTCATTATGAATTCATTATAAGTTCTAACACTTATCTAGGAGTTATGTAGGTGATTTATAACACTGTTTTCACGGACTTAGGATAAAGATTAATTGTTAAGGTTTTTACTTAATTCTATAATTAAAATTTTAAGTAAACATTTATAGAGTGGGTTTTCACTGAATTCATAATATACTAATTAGATACTTTTATGATAATTAACTAAATACAGAAAGCAACCTTGGGGGCCTGGGAAACATCACTAAAAGCTTCTTTTGAGTTTTCTTTAGAAATAAACACTGCAGGATAAGAGAAAAGTAACAAAGACACCTGGACAAGAGAGGTGATTACAAAGCTCTGAAGGTCATAGAAGCCCCAGAAGGAAAACTACTGCTACATGAAGAAATGTGCACTGGAAACTTTCTTGAAACATTTCAAGGACTGTAATTCGGGACTTTGGACTAAAACTATCATTTTTGGCTTTATGAATAAGACTCATTGATTATAGGGTTCTTGGCTTGTTTGTTGCTAAGACCACTAGATGGTGGTAACTTTTAGAGGATATATATGTGAAGGAATTTTCTTTGTCTTGCCCCTTTACAAATGGTATAAAAGCTTTCCATTAGCCAACATTAAATGGCATCTGTTCAGGAAGCAGGTGTCTGAGTATAATATTTTCATCTTTCGTCTATCCGTCTCTCCTTCAGGAAACTTCACACCCTTGGCAGGGGCTGGACCCCCACAAAAACTGATGAACCAATAATAACAAATTAATATTAATTAAAGCTCATACCTTATTCATATTTCCTTTGTTTTTAATCTATTTTTTTCTGTTCCAGAATATCACATTACGTTTATTTATCATGTCTCTCTAGACTCCCCTAGATTGCCATTGTTAGCCTTTCTTGTTTTTGATGACTCTGACAGTTTTACAGAGTACTTGTCAGTTACTTTGCAAAATGTTCTTCAATTTGGATTTTTCTTATAATTTTCTCATGGTTAGACTAGGGTTATGGGTTTTCTTTAGGGAGATAAAGTGCCATTTTCATCACAGCTTACCAAAGGTTTGTGTTATTGATATGACTTAGCACTGATGATGTTACATTTGATCACAGTTTCAAGTAGCATTTTTCAAGTTTTTCTGTTGTAATTTTTTTCCCCTTTCCACACTATACTCTTTAGAAGGAAGTCTCTATGCACAATTTACATTACAGGGTGAGGAATCATGCTTTTCTGTTTGGGGGAAGGACCTGAGGATATCTACACAAATTATTTGGATTTTCTATATATGGTAGATTTGTCTCTTTACCTCATTTTTTATTCAATAATTTATTTATAGCAGTATGAAGTGATGGATAGTTATTTTTTACTTTGCATTATAATTTAATACTAGATTATTTATTATTTTGTTTTTAAATTATTTCAGCTATGACATTTTATAGATGTTTAAAAGTTAAACCGTTTTAAGTTTTAAAGCTATATTTTCATTATTTATTTTTATTTCATTACATTGTGGTTATATAAAAGACTCTGTCTGCTAAGAATTCTTTAAAATTCATTAGTATTTCTTTATATCCTACCAGACAGTAAGTTTTATAAATAATCCTAGTACTTAAAAATAACTTTTATTTTCCAATTATTGAGAGCAGTTTCATATATATATTGTTAGATGATAACTGGATCTTTTTTATCTTTTAAAAAATTTAATTATTCAGGATATGTATATATTTACGGGGTATATGTGATATTTTGGTATAGGCAAACAACATATAATAAGGTAAATAGGATAACCATTTGCACTTTTTGTCTACTTACTATATTGAAAATATGTTTATGTATACATGTAATCCAAAGTAGATATAAAACTCTCCCACCAATCTGATGATAAAATCTTCCATTTCTTCATTTTTATTTATATATTTTGCTGCTACATTATTAGAAAACTTCAAGGTTAGCATTATTTATTTTCGCTGATAAATTAAAGCTGAAATTTAATATAATAACCTTTTTATCTCGAAGAATGCTTTTTATTAAAGTCTCAGTTTTCTGACAGTAATGAAGTTACATAAAATTTCTTCCTTATTGTTTGCTTGGCATGTTTTGTTTAGTTTTGTTTCCATTAGTTTACTCTAATCATGTCGATGTTGTTATGTTCTAGAGGTGTATATTGTAAATAGTAGATATTTGAATTGGAAAGATATATTAGTTTCACAATCTTTGTCTTTGAATGGAAAAATATATACTTATTATAATAACAATATATACAGATGTATTTCCACTTTAAATTTTCTATTTGTTTTGCTGTTTCTGTATTTCTTCTTTCTCCTTTACTTTTTTATTTTGTAGTGCTTGGTTTTCTTTACCTCTATTTTATGGAAAGTTTATATTCTGGCATTTCTAGTGCTTACCATAACCACTAAGGACATGTGTATAACCTACCAACATCTATAATTGATTGATATTTTCTACTCCATTGCAGAATAGTATATAAAACTTAGATTATATTCTTATTTGATATATTACTATAGACTAATATGTTAACTGTGTTTTCAACCTCATGAATGGACTCAAATACACATTTTAAAACTATTTACTTATTTATTTTAGAGTTGTGTGGTACATGTGAAGATCTACTTCATAGGTAAATTGTGTGCAAGTGAGGTTTAGGCTTATTAGAAGTTATTTAAAAGTACAATTTACTCTGCACTTTAAGATTTTTATTTTGTATTTTCTTAATGAAATCTTACTCCTCTTATTGCTAGAAATAAACATCCCACCATAGATTTTAAATTTTCCAGAGAACTTGTTAAAAATACCTACAGTCTTGGCTTTCACAGACCTACCTGTCACATTGCTGTGACATATATGTATTAATTTTATCCTCCTTTAACAAGAGTCTCTTGGCAGGAGTAAGCCACCATGGAGTAACCAAGTTTAAAATATTGGCTTTACTATAGAAGTAGATGTTTGAAGTTTTTTGAAGCCTGATGTTTCTTTCATTGGTTTAAGACCACAATTATTTTTCTCTTTTTCATAATAATAATATTTATTTTTACCAATTATCTTTACTCAAAAAATTGTGTTTTAACAAACTTTGGGTAATGATAATGCATTTGAACAATTGGTCTTGTTATATACCAAGTCCACTTCAAATCTGCATTTTGTGGTAGAAAAGAAGCAAATAATACCCTCACTCTATAGAACGACATGGAACATCTGAGCATTATCTTTAGCAGGCACATCTGGTGCCTAAAATAGCGTGGAGAACTAAAATGTACCTGCCACTATAACCAAGATTGTTTATAAGCATGGAGCATGTACATGCTGATGGAGAAACATCTCTGGTATGAGATACCATTTGTGAAATACGGAACTTATTACTGGGTTTTCGGCTATTAACAATTGCATCAAAGCGTCTTGTGACTCAGCTGCACAAGAGAAGTTTCATTCTTGGCTAAATACAATCTGTCAACATACCCATTCTGAGTTTAATGTCCTCAAAACTAAGACTCTCAGCCAAATTTTTTTCTGGGACTCAAAGACTCACGAAGTCTTGCTTTTAACATCTTCATTCCAAGTACAACTTTAGCCAAAAGTGACAGAGCTGGATAACTACAGGATGGAGGGAGAAAGAATGTCCTCTTACCCCAGGACAGGTGGCAATTGTACTTGTACTCGTCTCTGCCCAGGGGAGGCTGCCTATTGGCTTTGATTATAGGCGCCAACGTTGGGGATCTGGGCCAAGTTCCACTCACATATAGGAAGCACAACTTCTGCTGCCTTTATGAAAAATTGAGGGTATTAATATCATAAATCTTAGTGATTGCTGAGACAGTCTTGCATATTGGGGCCCCATTGTTAGTTTGCACTTTGCTCAGACCTTGCCCTAATGCCGGGCTCCTTTCAAATTATTTTGGCAGGTGTGTTGGCTGTTCAGCAGTTATTGGGAAGAAGAATGAGGGAAACAGAGACCAAACTCTCACTTCCTTCTGTAGTTCTGTGGCCTGCGCTGTCCCATGTGTTACAAGCCAGATCGGAAGGACTGAGACTGGCATCTGAATCTGGAAGTAGAAAGTGAGAAAGGACTTAAAGGATTATTCTATTCCTCCATCAGAAGCAAAATTTAATTTTCCATTACAATTCCCCACATATTCATAGTGATTATATATACCTCAGATGTTCTGAAATGATTCTGATTGATAATAGATCATTCTACTGTTTTTAACAGAACATTTATACTTATGAGATCATGTGTCCCAAATTTGAGTTTGGAAACTGTTTCAAACTATTCTCATCCTGCTATAGCCTCAGCAAATAATTTCTACTGTCATTTGTCTTCATTCGAGTTGAAATTAATGATAATGCAGAGTTCTAATTTATATGCATTCTGTTGTGCCCCCCACCCCCCACACACACATACACCTACCCCAGGGGCTGAGCTCTCTTATTTCTGATATGACTTTTAAAGATGTGATTTAGGGTAGTGAGCCTAGGGATCAAGTGAAGCGATGGAAAAAAAGAGATGGATCTCACGTGTAGTCTGAATCGTGAATGTGCTTTTTTCTCTCCCAGGGCACTCTCCTTCAATGGGCACAGCCTACCTGAGCTTGGCTAGGTCTCCAGGCTTCAAGGGCAGCATCCTGGGCATGTGAATTTCTTCAGACTCATTTTCTCCCTGCTGCCTGTGTCTTTGTCTCTTCCAACGCCAACTAGTGCTGATTTCTGATTTAGCCACAATTAGAATCCTCAAGCACTTGAAAGCTTTGTCCCTTCTAAGGCAACATTTAATCCTGGTGTGTCTAGAGTCCGATCTAAATCACAGCTTTGGAGTGGGCATGTCAGACATACTCTCCCCATCATGATTTCTCCAGAATTCAACATTACCCTTCTATCCAACTATTCAGGAAAGAAATATAACTATGAAATATCTGACCTGAGTGATAGGACAGAATTATCCAAGGGGGAGTTAGAATGTGAATACTAATTGAAGCTCATTTCTGGCTCTCATTTTGCTGCTTTACTGGTACTTTAAAATACGAACGGAACCTCTTTCTGCTGTCTTTTTCCCAGACCACTTTAACAATAATCAATTCTGTGGCCAGAAACTTTAAAAAATCCAGTTAGTTTTTCAGATTGGTTTATAATTTTGTACTATTATGGGGAATATATGAAATATCCTTTTCCTCACAACTCTGCCAGCAATAGGTGTTATACTTTTTAATCTTTACCAGTGTTATAGGTACAACCTCATAGCACATTGCTACTTTAGTTTGTAGTTTTGTGACTTCTGCAGAATTTGAACGTATTTTCATGTGTTTGGTGGCTATTTGCATATGATTTTCAATGAGTTGCCTGTACATTTTCTAGCAATTTATAAAAGCTATTTGGATGTTATAATTATTCCTTTTGCCCACCATCTATATTAAAAACATTTTTCAAAGGTAAACATTCGTTGATATTGCTTATATTTTTCCACACACATTGCAATTTGATTCTTATTTAATTTAATTAAAATTTATAATTTTTATTCAAATTTTATTTAATTTAAAATGTGTTGCTTCTCTTATAGATTTTAAGATTTTTTTTTAACTAAGAAGTTTCTTTTACCTCTGGGTTTACCCAGAATCTCCCAAATATTCAACCTCAGGTCTAAGAATTTGTCCCATAAAAATAAAAACACCAGGACATAATTATATTTATAAACATTATTGTACCATGATTCATCATATAAAAATAAAATATGGAAATAAATGTTCATCAATAGAGAAATGATTAAATAAATTATGGTGGATAAACATTGTTTAAAAAAAAAAAGAGGACTATAACAATTGCCTTAGAAATATTTTTCACAATATATTTTTGAATGAGAAATGCAAGTTGTAGGAAATTATGTATAACATAAACCTACACTTGTAAAACAAAAAATGCAAAACACATATGCATGAATATGTGTAATGTAACATGTTTATGTCTTTATATCTACAAGAACATAGAAAATATGGAAGGTCATGTCCTGATTGGGTTAGAAAACACTAGTGCGGTGATAGGGAAAGAGGAATAGAGGAGGAGAAAATAATTTTTAAAATTAGGGAAGATTGTATTAAAGACAAAATATTAAAATAAAAAGTTTTTAAAAATCAGGCTACATTTTTAATCTTTGTTTTCTTGAGTGTCTTACCTCACTGTAAAATTCACCTTCAATTTATTTTCACAAAACATCATCAAGGAGATAAAACTAGATTATATATTTGATAATAAGAGTATGATGGAGTAGAGATAACCTAGACTTAGCTCAGCTTCTAGCTATTTGGTGATCTATTTGCTTCTTGAAACATAGCATGAGTCTAATGACTCACAGGTCCTTCCCAGCTCGAACTGTCCCTCATCTATGATCAGACCCAGAGATGTTCAGGGGCATCACTATTAACCTTCCGGGTTGGATGTTCCTTACTGGATGGGTGGGTGGGACAAGGAGTGTAGTCCTCTGCAATGCAGGGTGCTAAGCTACCACACCCCTGACCCCTACCTATTAAGATAATTTCCAGTAGCAATTCGCTCAGTGGTGACAACCAAAAATGTCCCCAGACATTACCAAATGTCCCATAGGGAAGTAAGAAAAAATAAATAAATAAATACATAAAATAACCACCCTCAGTTTTGAACTACTAATCTGAGTGATTATTACATCCTTTTCCTGAGATTTGTTTTTCTGGCAACTTGGAAGGACACTGCTCAATAAGTCCTTTGAAAACTGGCCTCTGAATTATTTCAGTGCCCTTTATTTAGATTAAGTATGTGTCACCTTATTATTTGTGTGAGAGAGAGATACGAGCTTGTTGTTTTCCTCTTTATATTGCACAAACAAGTTATAATGACTCATTCACTGCAGGCGCAAGGAATCTCAGCCTTCAGGTGCTCAGAGAATGTTAATAATAAATCACAATTATCTGAATTGTTTTGAACAGCTATTACATGGCTAGGGAACAATGACTTCTGATTTTTTTTTAAATGAGAGAAGTTCCTTTCTATTCATTTGCTTTACTTCCACAGTAATCAAACCTACACAGGAACAACTTTATTCTTTATTGCATTCTTTTATCTTAGAATTCCAAGCTTTTACGAAAGTGGTAATTCAGGATAAAAGAATAAATCAGGAACCTAAAAACTCTTAAGTCTTTGATGATTTTTCTTTAAAGTAATCACCCTGAGTTTGGATAGTCCAGAGAGATCTAGAATTCTGAACAGTCCTGTTATTACATCCTAAATAAAATTATTCACAAATGTCATATACAGGTTAATTTCCTTGAAGGATAATTTTGTATTTGTCTCAGTTATAAGTTTCAAAAAGTTTTCTTAGACAACTAAGAACCACAGAGGACTATAAAACCATCACACTGACAGAGCTGATTTTGCGATTTTTGTGGGTATGGCAAATGTAGTCTGAGAGTTGGCTTTATCAAAACAACCTGTTAGTGAGGCTGGATGGAAGCAACTAACCCCACCATCTCCGGCAAGGTGATGGTTGCTGAGACTTTTAAAAACAAATTTAATTATTGTGTAAAATTGAGTGGCCTAAGTCTGTTCACAGCACAAGGAAAAGTTTTCTGTTATAAATAACATTCATTCATTAATTAAAAATTGTCTAAGTACTATATGTCAGGCATTTTGCTGAGGATACAGTGGTGAACAGAAATGACGTTCTCTCTGTCCTAGTCATAAATCAGTGTTGCACATTTTGAAGGAGAGGCATTGGTGCTGTATAAGATCTGTGCTACTTACAAGGTTAGGGAAGACTTCCCTGAGAAACTGATGCCTACACTAAGATTCATTAAGAGTTAACTTGGAGAAGAAGGGAGAGAAGAGCATTTTGGGACATTGTGTGTGCGAAGTCCTTGTGATGAAAGCTGGCCTGTGAGACTGAAAAAGAGACAGGAAAAGGAAAGAGTGATGTGACATATTTGAGAGGTAGGCAGAGGCCAGACCCTCTAATTCAAAATAAATTCCACCTAAATTCTATAAGCAATGAGAATACTATGAAGCACTTAAATGAGGAGTTGACATATTCAGTTTTATGTAAACAAAAGGTTGACACACTATGTGTTGAAATTATTTTGACTGAGTTTAAATAATGGGTGTGAGAGGGACCGGGGTGGGGATGCTGGCAGTTAATTTGGGAAAGAATTTAACTGATCCACCCAAGCAAGAGAAGATGCAACTTTGTATTAGAGTAGGCATGGCAGTGGTGGTAGAGATGGAGAAAAATGAGCAGATTCAAGAGATATTTATTGAGAAATAACAAATGAAACAAGTATTGGTAGGGAGTGAGAGTGGGAGGAGGGAAAAAGGAAATATTAGAGTGATCCTGGAAAAACAGGATTCATAAGGTGAACAATATGCTTTCTGAATTTTAGAAGAGGTTCAGATAATTTAATTAACTTCTCAAGGGTCATAGAGTCAATCCCTGGTACAGCCAGGATTGAACCTGGGCAAGTCCAACAGCAAAGCCAGGATTTTATTCATGGCTGAAACTATTCCTACATGCTTTGTAAGAGAGTAAGTCTGACCCAGGAAATGAGACACTTAAAAAAGGATTGGTGCCCTTTGTAGTAAAAAATGGAGTGCTGGCACATTTATTTTAATAAAATATAAAATACATCTCTTAACATAGACCTCTTCTTACACTTGTACACCCCTCCCACACTCACACTTTTAGCATGTGACTTCCTCTTACTCTAATAAGCCAATTACAATGTGATTCTGGAAGGAATACAGCAGTAGTGTCTACATTGTTTTCCGATCTCTCCAAATCTCAACATGAAAAAAGATAGAAGAACCAGATAGCAAAACAAAAACACAAAGATGTTATTTAAAAATAAAACCAAGCAGTAGGTTATGTCCAAAAATCTCAAACTACAGCACCTACAAGCCCTACATTGGTGTTTGAGTTGCCTAAAATACCTGAGATCAGAAGAAATTCAAACTAACCAGATTAGTGGAAAGCAATTTTAGATTAGCACCAGGAGAGGTATTGTTCTATACAATAGTAGATTAGACAAAGCCGCCTGTGGTATGTC